GGCTATCAACGGAATCTTCGAAACGGTGCAACGCTATGTACGCACATATTTTATAGAAAGGCCTGACGTTCCCAATAGGCCGGAACTCGCCCTTTTCGCAAATGTTCTAATTTTACCGCCGGCTGTTTAAAAAATCGCCGTGCAACAAAACATACTTGAACAAACTCTTAACCAAAAATAAAAACAAATATTTGCACTGCCAAGTCCCCAAAAAAAAACAACTCCTGCAACTCCTGCAATGAGACGTGCCAATCGCCGTCGTGTTACAAATTTCTGAGTATTGTGTGGTACCCTACAGACATACGCATTGCGCCGTTTAGAGGCGGAAAAAGAGACGTGCAGGGCTAGCGAATAAGTGGAAAACAGTGTGGAACGCGCTGCAGCGTGCAGTGTGTTTTTTTTATTTTCAATGTTTTCCCATCTCTCGAACGGGACTACATGGACATTTTGTGAAAGGAGACTGCCGCTGAAAGATTCTGCCTTGGAAACTGGGCATCCAAAATTGGCGTAACATTAAATTAATTTGGACCACAATGGAAGATAAATTTGCAGGGGCTCACAGCTGCCAAACACAAAACTTGCGAGGATTCATTCCACAACTTTGCGCAACCATCTCTGGCGGTAGTCGCGCTTTGTGCAAAGTTTGCGGTTTGTTTTGTTTTGGGCGAACGACATTTGCACTTTACGTGTGCGTACATCACGGTGACATGTTTGGTGTGCCTGCAAATTTTCACCTGGCAACCACATACTTGGCTGCACTATTGAACGCGGTTTGTGATTGAAGTTGCCGCCAGCAAAACGCAATTCCATTGAATGCTATCGCGGGAACCATGGTTTGCTGGCACCCTATTATGTTTGCAATTTTGTTAAAATCACCATCCCACAGCAAGCAGCCAAGAGACAGCGGAACAGATTTTCATGGAATACATAAAGCAACATGGGCCAGAACCAATATACCCCAAAAACTCTGAAAGTTGGCCCTTGGTGAGGCAATATTTAACCATTACCAACACTACATACTTTTACATATTTTACATGCGTGAAATACACCCTGCATACATTACACACATACCCACGTACATGCATATAGACACACCGACATAGAGACATACATATCCAGTTTTTTTCTCTATATACAGCATGGATATTAGCAAGTGAGAACCAGGCGTTGTAAGCAATCCGTTTTCGGGTGCGCTAAGCGATCCGTTAGTGTTGGGGGCAAAGCCCCGATCCGCCAAGTTCGCTGGTCAAATTGTACCGCTGGAAACAACATCCAATTGAGCTGGTTCTGCCCCACCCAAACATTGTAGGACTGCGAAAGCAAATCACAAGTTCATCACAAAACCCGAAAGAAATGAAAAACGATGTCAAAAAAAAAAAATGCCAGAAAGAACTCACAAAATCGCCGAAAACCCCAGTTCCCAAGAGCAATGCGAACATCCTGCAAGTATTGTTTGGTAAATCATATCGCGCGGCCCTTTCCGCAACGAAGTTGCTTAGACATTGATTCGCAAGGTTTCCTTGAATGGAAATGAAGTTGTTCCCCCATTTTGCACGTATTGTTTGGTAAATCACGTTGCGCTGCCCTTTCCGAAACGAAGTTGCTTAGAGACTGATTCGCCAGGTTTCCTTGAATGGAAATGAAGTTGTTCCCCCATTTTGCACGTATTGTTTGGTAAATCACGTTGCGCTGCCCTTTCCGAAACGAAGTTGCTTAGAGACTGATTCGCCAGGTTTCCTTGAATGGAAATGAAGTTGTTCCCCCATTTTGCACGTATTGTTTGGTAAATCACGTTGCGCTGCCCTTTCCGAAACGAAGTTGCTTAGAGACTGATTCGCCAGGTTTCCTTGAATGGAAATGAAGTTGTTCCCCCATTTTGCACGTATTGTTTGGTAAATCACGTTGCGCTGCCCTTTCCGAAACGAAGTTGCTTAGAGACTGATTCGCCAGGTTTCCTTGAATGGAAATGAAGTTGTTACCCCATTTTGCACGTATTGTTTGGTAAATCACGTTGCGCTGCCCTTTCCGCAACGAAGTTGCTTAGAGACTGATTCGCCAGGTTTCCTTGAATGGAAATGAAGTTGTTCCCCCATTTTGCACGTATTGTTTGGTAAATCACGTTGCGCTGCCCTTTCCGCAACGAAGTTGCTTAGAGACTGATTCGCCAGGTTTCCTTGAATGGAAATGAAGTTGTTCCCCCATTTTGCACGTATTGTTTGGTAAATCACGTTGCGCTGCCCTTTCCGCAACGAAGTTGCTTAGAGACTGATTCGCCAGGTTTCCTTGAATGGAAATGAAGTTGTTCCCCCATTTTGCACGTATTGTTTGGTAAATCACGTTGCGCTGCCCTTTCCGCAACGAAGTTGCTTAGAGACTGATTCGCCAGGTTTCCTTGAATGGAAATGAAGTTGTTCCCCCATTTTGCACGTATTGTTTGGTAAATCACGTTGCGCTGCCCTTTCCGAAACGAAGTTGCTTAGAGACTGATTCGCCAGGTTTCCTTGAATGGAAATGAAGTTGTTCCCCCATTTTGCACGTATTGTTTGGTAAATCACGTTGCGCTGCCCTTCCGCAACGAAGTTGCTTAGAGACTGATTCGCCAGGTTTCCTTGAATGGAAATGAAGTTGTTACCCCATTTTGCACGTATTGTTTGGTAAATCACGTTGCGCTGCCCTTTCCGCAACGAAGTTGCTTAGAGACTGATTCGCCAGGTTTCCTTGAATGGAAATGAAGTTGTTACCCCATTTTGCACGTATTGTTTGGTAAATCACGTTGCGCTGCCCTTTCCGCAACGAAGTTGCTTAGAGACTGATTCGCCAGGTTTCCTTGAATGGAAATGAAGTTGTTCCCCCATTTTGCACGTATTGTTTGGTAAATCACGTTGCGCTGCCCTTTCCGCAACGAAGTTGCTTAGAGACTGATTCGCCAGGTTTCCTTGAATGGAAATGAAGTTGTTCCCCCATTTTGCACGTATTGTTTGGTAAATCACGTTGCGCTGCCCTTTCCGCAACGAAGTTGCTTAGAGACTGATTCGCCAGGTTTCCTTGAATGGAAATGAAGTTGTTACCCCATTTTGCACGTATTGTTTGGTAAATCACGTTGCGCTGCCCTTTCCGCAACGAAGTTGCTTAGAGACTGATTCGCCAGGTTTCCTTGAATGGAAATGAAGTTGTTCCCCCATTTTGCACGTATTGTTTGGTAAATCACGTTGCGCTGCCCTTTCCGCAACGAAGTTGCTTAGAGACTGATTCGCCAGGTTTCCTTGAATGGAAATGAAGTTGTTCCCCCATTTTGCACGTATTGTTTGGTAAATCACGTTGCGCTGCCCTTTCCGCAACGAAGTTGCTTAGAGACTGATTCGCCAGGTTTCCTTGAATGGAAATGAAGTTGTTCCCCCATTTTGCACGTATTGTTTGGTAAATCACGTTGCGCTGCCCTTTCCGAAACGAAGTTGCTTAGAGACTGATTCGCCAGGTTTCCTTGGAAATGAAGTTGTTACCCCATCCCCATCCTGCATGTTTGGTAAATCACGTCACGTGCTGGTACTCAGCAAGGTCACTTCGATATATTGTTCAGACATGCTGATGTTGCATAGACTTTCTCCTATAAAGCTTTCCGCAAGAGAATTTGATGTCCAGTTGCTGCAGGTTTGTTCCGTAAAACACGCACATCATCATGTTGGGAATGATCATTGCGTAACACTATCGTAACACTGTTTTGTGAGGTTTCACTGACGATGAGGGCTGTTGGCCGGTCCAGATGCTTGGTAAACAATATGACCTTGGAAAGCCAGCAAAATCAACCCTTTGCTGTGCACTTTTTACAAGTTGTCTCCGTTCGGAACTGCCAACGTCCTTCGGAGAAAGGATCAGAAAGGTCCTGAGGAGTCCTGAATTTTTCAATGGAAGGTCTCTCTCTACATATATTTATAGAAATTTACAAATATCCTGTTCAGGTTTTTGTTCGTTTCAGGTATCATATACAAATTGAACATTGAAAAAAACAACTGATCATAGGTTTCCCCCATGATTTTTTGCGGAAAAATCATGAAAAGTCCACCATGTTCATTCCACCTGAGGTAAGTCGAGGTGCGAAGCAGATTTTTTCTGTTCCTTGTTGTTTGGTTCCAGAAAGAAATTCGTGGCTTATGTCATGGTGCCATCATGGTGATTGTTGTTGGTTCTACTGTTGCTGGTTGCCTAATGATGCTACCAATGCTACCATAGTTGTGGTTCGGTTTAAAATATCCCCAAGGATTCCAAGGCAGAAACGTTCATAGTGAAACACGATACCTGGAGGTTTCACAAGCTTTTCACGGCACTCGAACGATATTGATATTTAATATTATTTAACATTCCCAGATGCTCCATGTATAGTACGTATATTTACCTACATTTGGGCCATTTGTTGGGTAAATCTAGGTAAATATTCCATACATTGAGCATATGGGATTATTTAACCATGGGAAAATACAGCGAATTCTCCATCGAAAAAATCAGCTGTCCATGCTGGAGTTTTTTCTCTGCGACCCAGGCTTTGCTGGTTTCAACTCAAGGCCAAATCAAGGTCCAGGATAAAACTTTGACGTTTAAAATGTTGGGCGTGCGTCGGTTCCTGGTGCCTTTGCTGAAAATTCGAGTGTACAGAAAATGTTTGAATGAATTCATTCATCCCCACATTCATGGCCACGTGGGAAAATCATGAAACAAAATCGTCGAAAATGGATCGCTACCCAGAGTTGGTCATCCCCAAAATATTCAAATCATCAGAAATCAGAAAGAAAATCATTCCATGAGGATCAATGGATTGGATTAAGGGAAAATTTACAGGAAAGCCCCATAGAAATAATGGGAAAATCGATGGTTTCCGGTTCCGATTTTCCCCAACAAACCAATCCATTGAGAGGACCCATGGAGCCATATAGAGCCATAAGGACATAAGGACCCATGCCCAGAAGGATTGCGCAGTTCACTCGAGTTCACTCGAGTTCACTCGAGTTCACTTCACACAAGGTTCTCTGTACCTAATGATAATGTCAAAGCCCACATTGGTGAGGAATCCCACCAAACCTGGGAGCCAGGGAGCCGAGTCAATTTTGGAGTGCTGCGCCTCCATTTACCAGCCATTTTCATGTAAACGTAGATTTTTTTTCCGGGGGTGAAACCAAAATTAAAAATCAGAATATGGTGGATATATTATATAATATATATATATATATTATATATATTATGTAATATGGATATATCTTCTCCCATTATATCCCCATATGGTTGGTTTCTGTTTGTGTTTTAAGTCGTTATATATCGTTATATCATAATGTTTGGTGTGTTCCCCATTCCCCAACAACAAGCCCAGGACGAACATGCCAGAAACGCGCGGACATCTTCTCTTCACTAATCCCAGTACGAAGGGAAAATCCCAAGCCGCCCACCGTGGCGATTAGACCTGCGATACAAAAACGCTTGGCTTAGTAAAGAACATCTAACATGATATCATGATGAATTAATGATGATTAATGATGATTAATGATGATTAATGATGAATTAATGATGAATTAATGATGAATTAATGATGATATCATGATAGGTATGGCCATATGGGTTCAAATTTAATATGCGGTCCTGTAGGTCTGATTTCTTTCACTCATAAGGTTGTGGGATTATGTGGGATTTAAATCAAACAAACGCCAACACCAAAACATCTGAACAACAAACAAGCGAGAAACGCAATCCTTGCAACAACAATCAAACATCATCAAGCTGTCTGCAAAAATATCAAAAATCAAGAACGACCCAAAAATCCAATTGCTGTAGTCAGGGTTTCAACATGGGTTTCAACATGTTTCAACCCTATAGGCTTCCCCTTAAAATGGAGGAAATCGAAATGGCGCTGCAGCGCTTCGATCCCCACCTTGTAGGCCCATCATCCGAAAGCCTTCAGTGTCGATCCAACCCAAGTAGACTCCTGCAGTGACCCCAACGCCCACGTAGACGTACATCACACCTTAAGCAGATCGGTTGGATCGGTTGGGTGGTTCATGGTTCCCCCATGGTTCATGGTTCCCCCATGGTTCATGGTTCCCCCATTCCAACATATTGTATCCCCACATATTCCGACAATCGCTTGGTTTCGGGGAAAATGCTGATTAACATTACCCGGTTACCCCCATTAAGACAAACACATCTCTTACCCCCTCAAATGAAAGACAGAATTAAACGGCAATGTGTTTCTTTGCTTTCAACATAATGACACAAGTCTTCATGTTTCGTCACTCTGCAACTTCTAAAGGACTTCTGGGCAACTTCCAAAAAGTACTTCCGGGAATGGGTCAAAACACTATCTATTTGTACATATTATATAATTATCATATATATTTATATATTTATCTATCTATTTATATTATTATTATATCATGTGTATTTTATGCTTTATATCTATATGTCTATATTATTCTATACTCGTATATCTAACCTGGAAATGCAGCCGAACATCTCAAAACGGTTTCGGCCCATCCCACTGCATCCCCCAGCCCAACAAAAAACGAATCTTCGGCACCTTCTACGAGGGTGACCTTGTCGCTACGGATGTCGGCACCCACAGTTTCCAAGACGTATGCGGTGATGTCCGGGATGGCTGTTATGACTTCATCCAAGATGCAAGGCTCCTGGGTTGGGGTTGGGGTTGGGGTTGGGATGCCAATAACGTTCATGTTCCCACGGACAGGCAGTACGCCAGTACGCACTCACCATGTCTTGGGGTGGGGATGGGTGGGGTAGAGTAAAGTAGAAAGACATGATTCTGACATGATAATGTATGATCTAAGATGATCTAAGATTGGAGAACCTTCGCGTGCAAGGACGAGTCACAAGGGCGCGTGTGATGGGCACGAACCTTTATTGGGGGGTGTTGCTGGTTGTTGTTGTTCCTTACCGGCTAAAGGAAGAATGATGATGTTTCCTTTCGGGGAAATGTTTGATCAATTAATGAATTATGATGGTTGCCTGAACGTTTCATCTGCTGTTTTTGTCCAGATTGTGGTGGGTGTACCAACCTGCAACGAGAGATGATCTGTCTGAAAATGCGTCGCATATTCAAGTTACCCTGTTATTATGATTTAACATGATTTAACATGATTTAACCATTGGCTAAATTATGATCCATTTACAATCCTTGATTAGCCATTGGCATCGGCTAAATTCAAACATCCTCGGGGTTTTCCGTTTTCCCACGGTTTTTCCCTATCGAAATCAATGGGATGTTTGTCCAACTGGGATTTTGCGGGCCGTCCTGCGCCTTCATTTCTTGCAGAAACTCCAACAAACTTTGGCCCATGGAAGCATAGGACTTCATATACCTTGGTCCAACTGATGGTTTCTTCAAGAAGATGTATGGAATTTCTGTGTGGAATTTCTGCATTTCAAATGATCAATTTCATGGTTCCATGATGTTCCATGGTAATTTCATGGCTTGGTTCCCATGGTTTTTATGACCCAGCAATACCCATCAGTCGTCCAGAAAAAAAACACGACTATTCCCACAAATCCGGGTCACATCCCGTGGTTCATGAAAGGAGATGCCAGTATGGGTTTGTCAAAATTGAGGATGCCCCAAAAACAAAACATCGAAAAGAGAAAAATGATAGAAAAAATATGATTGAAGGAAATATATGGAAATATGGAGTACAAAGTTGAAATTTTATATTGGCAATTCAGATAGGTTCAGCCCCAAATGAAAGGAATTGCCAGCCGCCATCTCACTGACTCAGTGGAACTCAGTGGCATTGCAATGCTATCCACCACAATGCCATCCCGCACGTCTCGCACGCCAGCGAAAACCCTGAGGGAACCTTCCAACTGATGGAGATTTGAAAAAGTACAGCTATGTACAGCTCAAAACCTAACGAATTGCAACGAATGTTGAATTTCAAACATGTTTGAAGTCAACGAATTGCAAGTTCGAAAATCATTTCGGCCCAATTTTCGGTGAAAAAGTAGGTTTCCATTTGTTGCAAGTCTTTGGGGAACTGATGGTTGATCAACAAGGTTGATCAAGAAGTGAGGTTAACGGTTGAGCAACACCCGTTGCCGAGTACCTCTGAGTATCTCTGGGGTCATGGGGTCATGATAGTCATATGATGTCATATATATATATATGTCATATATATGTCATATGTATGTCATATGAGTCAATGATAGTCCGTCTTTCACGACATGTCACGAGATGTCACGACAGGTCTCAAAATGTCTCAAAACATCGAGACGCCGCTCAGTTTCAAGATGTTTCAGCGATGCCCCAACAAGTCGTCCCAACAGGATGATAAACCCAAAACATCCCAAAACCATAAACCATCCCCAAACGAGGATCATTTCATACCAGTAGTACCGCACAAGGCGGTGGCGGAAGTTTCAAAAATAGGAAACCTATAGGAGACATTGGCTGTTGTGAATCAGGGATGGCAGAGCGAATCCACTGATGGACCGAAAGGTGCTTGAGGTCTCCTCTCTTTCTCTCTCTTTCTCTCTCTTTCTCTCTCTTTCTCTCTCTTTCTCTCTCTTTCTCTCTCTTTCTCTGACTATCTACCTATCTACCTATCTACCTATCTACCAATCTACCAATCTACCTATCTACCTATCTACCTATCTATCTCTCTCTCTCTCTCTCTTTCATCTGTCTATCTGTCTAGCTGTCTACCTGTCTATCTGTCTACCTGTCTATCTGTGGTGCAGTGTCATTCAGTGTAATGTAGTGTAGTGTAATGTAGCGTAGTGGAGTGTAGTGGAATGTAGTGTAGTGTAGTGTAATGTAGTGTAGTGTAATTTCGTGTAGTGGAGTGTAGTTGTGTAGTCGTAGTTGTAGTTGTAGTGTAGTGGAGAGTAGTGTAGTGTAGTGTAATGTAGTGAAGTGTAGTGGAAGGTAGTGTAGTGTAATGTAGTGTAGTGTAGTGGAGTGTAGTGGAGTGTAGTGTAATGTAGTGTAGTGTAATTTAGCGTAGTGGAGCGTAATGGAGTGAATTGTAGTGGAGTGTAGTTGTGTACTTGTAGTTGCAGTTGTAGTTGTAGTTGTAGTTGTAGTGTAGTGGAGTGTAGTGTAATGTAGTGAAGTGTAGTGGAAGGTAGTGCAATGTAGTGTAATGTAGTGTAATGTATTGTAGTGTAGTGGAGTGTAGTGTAGTGTAATGTAGTGTAGTGTAATTTAGTGTAGTGGAGTGTAGTGGAGTGTAGTTGTGTAGCTGTAGTTGTAGTGTTGTGGAGTGTGGAGTGTGTGTAGTGTAGTGTAGTGAAGCGAAGCAAGCGACATCTGAACCTCCAAAAGTGGTCCGAACTCCTGGTGTTTTTAACATGTTGACTTCGAAATGTGCTTTGCGCCACAACGGCGTGCACTTTTTCGACATCTCAACTTCCAAAAGTGCTCCGAGACCCAGGTGTTTTGTACATTTTCACTTCGAAATGTGCTTCGCGCCACAACGGCGTGCACTTTTTGGACATCTCAACTTCCAAAAGTGCTTCGAGACCGCCAGTTTTTAACACTTTTTACCCACAACGCCGTACACTTTTTCGACATCGCAACTTCCAAAAGTGGTCCGAACCCCTAGTGTTTTTAACATTTTGACTTCGAAATGTGCTTCGCGCCACAACGGCGTGCACTTTTTCGACATCTCAACTTCCAAAAGTGCTCCGAGACCCAGGTGTTTTGTACATTTTGACTTGGAAATGTGCTTCGCGCTACAACGGCGTGCAATTTTTCATCTCTCATCTGGCCAGCTGGCTCCGCACCCCCCGCTTTAGCGAGCCTACTTTTCGACCCTCCGGAGCCACAAATCATTGGAAAAACACAGTGAATCGCGACTTTCCTACCTTTTCACGCATCTCCATCTTCTTTCTTCTTGCTCTTTCTCTTCTACTCTTCTCTCTTCTGATCTTTCTCTTCTCTCTGCCTCTGCCCTGCTCTGCTTTTCATCTGTCCATATTGTCGGAAGTTTGACTTCTAAACTTCCTTCGATCATTTCTACATGAAAAAAACCTTCCCCAAATGGTGGTTGGTTTGGTTGGTTTATGGCGTTGGGTTTACCATGGTTTACCACATTCCGCGAATGGCGCACCTGATTCAAAGCCCAGATTGAACTTTGGTTTCCTGGGAGGAGTGTTGCCCACATGGCAATAGATTCCCCCACTTCTGGTGGCAACAAACATCGACGGATAGCAACGCCCAAAAAGATAGAAAAGCAATAGAAAAGCAACATCCAACTGAAACTGTGGTGAATTCTATGTTTTTTTCGATGTTATTGAAAACCAAGAAAACAAAGTCATAGTTCCACATCGTCACACAAAGCATGACTCTTTCAGAATAGCTGAATAGCTTTGCTTCTGATCAACCATTTCATCAACCATTTCATCAACCATTTCATCAACCATTTCATCAACCATTTCATCATATTTCATCTACAGTCATAGCTGATCCATAGCTGGTCCTAAATCATCCAAATATATCCAAATCATTCAAGCTTCAAAAGAACTCCATCCGCATCAACTTCCAGTGGTCCAAGGTGAAACCTCGTTAAGGTGACATTTGAGGAATCCACCACTGTGGTTTTCTCGCGGGAATTGCAACATCCCATCAGGCGCGGTGTATATCGCGAAGTTGCGAAGTTGCTCAAAGAAAAGTTGGATTTGCATCACCCAACAATTGAATCATCCTCTCTTGAAAAGAATGAGATCCATGAGATCCAATGAGATCCAATATACTCCAATGAGATGTTTTGCTCCCCAAAAAAACCAGACTTTGTCTGCTGATTCTGGGGACCCTTGGCCCTTGGATACCCTTGGGCCGAAATGGGCCGAAAGACACGTCATGACCTGCCCAGGTGCAGTCACAATAATGGGGCGACTCCAACAAAAAAAAGGCCAAAAGTCGCAGAAACGGCGTTGTCTTTCAGAACTTCCCGGAAAAAAAAACAAACTAATCTGTAACATAATCTATAACATAATCTATAACATAATCTAACATAATCATACATAATCTAACTAATGCAGACTGATCCAGATGTTCGCTGAAGCATGATTTTTCAACTGCTCCTCATTTTTTGACACCATTTTTTGGTGATATAAAATGTCATGATCCCTGGCATACCGGTGGACACAACAGAACTTTCACCACCAGCAAAGTCTCCTCAAATTTCGCTGGAGAGAGGACGGCCGTAGCCCCTGGCGAACGGATATGGCATCCCACGTGATGCTTGTTGGCATAGGAAACAATGTCAAGCGATACTAATCCCGAAGCAAACATGTGGATGCTTTCTCCAAAGTGATTCAAATCTCTCAGAATATGATGTCCATTGAAGTAGATGGTTTTTGGACTAAAATGATGTAACTATGAGGGAAAGGGATACTGTATATAGGTTATCATCACAATTCTCCAAATTCAACATGATCCGATTCCGTTTTGGAGAATGGAGAATTGATGAATTTGGATGTCATTCTGACCATCTTTCAATGGGATGATTTGTCGGCTATGATTGTTTCCTATATTTTCCTATATCAAACATTGGCTTCATTGGCTGAGGGTCAAACCTGCATTTGTTCCTTCCAATGAGATGTTCATCCGTGTTTATCCGTTTTTGCATTTTTTGTATGGATGAAGAGTGCAGCCTCTGCTTTAAAAAAACATGACCGCCATCACACGAAACAAAATGGTGTGGTGATAAACGTGGTGATATTTCTGCAATCCTTCGGGTTTTCCCTTCGGGTTCCCTTCGGGTTCCCTCCAATGTCCAGTCACCAGAATTCCACTGGATATTGAACAGGACCCTTGATTTTTTGGTCGAGATTCTTCATGAAAACAATGTCACGTCGTAGCTGAAAGATGCTGAAAGTATCCACCTTTGCGAAATGTGAGTCGCCAGGAATGGGTTGCTAACACAAAAAAACACCTGGATCATCCAGAAGATCCCAGAGATCCAAAAAGACATAGCCAAAAGCCATGAATTTCCAGTTGATTCTGCCAATCATCCAGTGATTTACTACAACCACTGAACCACTGTGGTTCCGGACGGTGACCCAGGTGAGGTGAATAGGTGAGTCAGGTCGTATTCATCCTATGGATCAGGAGGAGGTGATGGGACCTGTGACAGAAACCATGGGAAATCTCCAGAATTCAACATCAAACCTCCATGAAAACATGTGAAAACTGGAGAGATGAATTTGCTTCAATGGTTTGGGTTAAAGGAAAGTTTACGAGAAACATGGTTGTTCTTATTCAATAGATATAGACATAGAAATGTCCGAAGTTTTTCCTTGAGCCATTTCTTGAAAGAATGGCTTCTTATTCTATTCTATTCTGATACCGTGAATCAGGAAAGCTTTTTTGGAATGTGTCTGAACTTCTGAACCCTTATTTTGGATACCAACCTTTAGAACCTTAGGACTTTAGGAGACACTGGCACGACCTGTCCCTGTCTAGTGAAAACTTTCAACCAAGCATCATTTCTGAATGAGTCTTGGCGGTCAAAACCCCCAGTCACCCCAGTCTTGACAGTGAAACCTTAATAGTTGATGATCGCGCCTGATGACTCAATCAAAATTCTCAATGGTTAAAACGTTAGAACGTCAAAACCTTCATCTTCTGCAAAAAATCATTCCAAATTCACAGCAAACTTCGGAAACAACCATGTTAGTCCCATCAAATAAAGGGGATCTTGCAGAGTTTCTGCTAGATCTATGCGCGCAGTAGTCTTCTGAAATGGGGCAACATTTCCCAAAACTTGGCCCTCAAAGACATTTCCATGGTGGTTTTGGGATGTTGCAGGGCTATCCGGCTGTCGATTCTCTAAACCACTGAAGTTTGAGGTATGAAACCCACGTTAAAGCAAACCCAATGTGGAGAATTGCGGAGACGGGTATGAAATTGCAATTTTAAAGGGAACATGATGGAAAACTATGGAAAACTATAATGAGATTTGGATGAGTTTGGGCCCTTGGGCGGGTCCCTTTTTTTTCAGACAACCCGAGTTCATCCCACTTCATACATCTTTAATCCATGATTTTCATACCGTATGGAACAACTGCTTGCAATTGCCGGGAAACCTGGGCTATCCTGGGCTCAACAAGCACCGACATCTGGACAGGATTCTCCTCAGTCAGGTCATTGGTCAATGGGTCAAGCAACATGGATCAAAATGGATGGAGCGCTGTCTGGGCGTGCAACAAGTGAACTTAACTCGCGCTGCGGCCACTTTTTTGGGGCACGGAAATGCACATGTGGCGGCTCATCTGCTAGATTCTATGAGATTCATCAATATTCTACAATTTGGCCTTCTTGTTTTGCCGTTCTGCATCGGCTGTGATCTTGGAAGCGAAGGCATCCCAACTGTTCCGCAACATGTGTGTCCGAGCACTTGTGGCCCGTGATATTTGATCTGCTCGTTCAAATTTCAACAGTTCCAACTGCAACTCCACACTGAAATCGTCAGTGTGCAATCTCTCTTTCGCCATCCGCGCCACTTGACAAAATGTCTTGGCCACGTTGGCTCTTTCGAATTGCTCCACAACAAGAAGCGTTTGATCACTTGGAATCACGTGAAACATGTCTTCCTCTCGGGCCAGCCAGGCATAAATTTTAGAATAGTCTTCACGCCGGAGCCGGCATAACAGCTTGTGCCACATCTCATCAGTGTGTTCCGTTTCCACATCTCTCTGCCGTGGGTCTTCAAAGGACCTTGGCTGAAACCACGTGATGCGAAAAGAGGCAAACTTGCCCAGGAAAGTTGCTACCCTGAGGAAAGGGAGAAAGAGAGAAAGTACGCATAATCACATCCCACAATAAAAATGCCAAAATCCAAAAACTAGATGCCCAATTCAGAGTATAACAATGATCAAAAAGTATTTGCCAAGACACCTTCCCAAGCTCGGTTGCAAGGGCAAACTAGGTTCCGCCAATGTTTTTTTCCACGTGACCAATGGAGACGCCCCCAGCAATGTGAACGCATGTTGCATCAGTTCTTGCACTCTTTCAAACAGATCTACTTGTTTGCAAGACCCTCTCTGGCTGGAACTTAAAATTCTGTCCAATTTCTTTGCATGTTCTTCCAAGATGGTGGTACGTTGCCCGTCGTGGGATTTTTGCATCTCTAAGGCGCTTTGGCCTATATTTAGGACATAGCATTCTGTTCCGGACTCAGGAGATTCTTTGGGAATCGCGCTGCTGCAGGCGAGTAAACCACATCTTAGAAGAGCTCGGACCAGGAGCCGGACTCCTGTCCTTGCAGCATGCGCTTGATTCGCATGTCCTGTTTCATGAGAAGTTGCAACACTTACCAAGTCTGTAAAGGTGAATGAATGTCCCAGTGGCATTTCACTCAGATTTGAGATCGCCCAGCCTTCTGGCAAGTCTGCTAAGTTAAGCAGTGCCATGATGGCTCTGAGGCGTTTGGCTGGGGACCAGAAGCACACCAATAATGGCTCCCCTGATCCAAGGCATTTGCGCATTGTTTCTTCATCGGAGGGTGAGAGTTCACCTTTTTGCATGTGCAGTTTCGCCCGGGAAAGGCCCAGCAGTTCCCCTTGGAAGCTGTTTCTCAGCTCGAGACAATTGCGCTCTTCAATGCAATCTTTTGCTTTTCTTTGTACAATGCCACCGGAGCGGTGTAAATCATTGACTTCATCGACCGGAAAGCCTGTTGCCACAAGGCCACATCTTCGAAGCAAGTGCAACACTGCCAAATCCTCCATTTCCAGCCAGTGCATGCCAGACACCATTGCAGCATCTGCAACAAGATGAGGGGGAGGAACTGGTGCGGTTTTCAACGGGTTCAGACTGCGGCTGGAAATGGCTGTTTTGATGTCACCCAATCGTTGGAGTTGGAAACCTGTGCACTTGCCTTCCTCACGGCATTCCATCCTTGGAACCACCAAGTGATGTGGAAAATTACATCAAACATCATCAAGTCAACACAAACAAACAAGAAAAACAAAGAAAACTCATTTTTTGGGTGGCTGAAAGTCCCAATGCCTGATCTGTTTTTGAGCTTATTAACATACAGACCGGAAAGAAGGTACTTGGTGCGGAAACTGTGCCAAGCAACAATGGTATGAGGCACGAGTCAGAAATCTGTTCATCCAGGTAGTCGTCCAAAGAAGACAACGCATTGGGCGGCACTTCAACAGTAAATTGGGCATCTGAAAGTGTCAAGCGAAGCTCACAGGAACCACCCAAAACCAAAAGAGCTGCTTTTGAAGCGCCCACTTCAGGGTTGCTGGTCCTAATCTCTTCCTGCAGGATGCTCCAAAGAAGTGGAAACTGTGCACAACAATCTGACCCTACTTCAAAGTTTTCCAGCATCCTTGCAACAATGCCCTGCTTCAAGGCCACTTGGTCGCCTGCAAAGCTTGTGTCAGATACAGCTAAAGCAGTAAGAATACTGCCAACGAATGAGTCGATCATCTTACTGTTTGAATCTTTGTCAGCAGGATCATTTGGAGAGCTGGTCATAGACGATCTTGCAGTATATGGCTGTGGATGTTCTAACCACACGGCTGTGGGTCCTGTGTTCGCCATGTATTGAACGAGGGCAAGACTGGATTGGGCCCGGTTTTCAAGCCTCACCGCGCCACATCCTTCGCAAGAATCGAAAGCCCCACAGCTTTCGAGGTCATGGTGATATGAACTGCTGGCACCATGTGCATGTCCCATGCTTCTAAAAACCAGATCATAGCCTCCAAGGCAATACGAAAATGTCCAGGGAGATTTCCCCCTGCACCATGCGGACTCAAAACGCCTATCCTTGTGAAGGGGGTGGTGGCGGTATCGCAGCTCGCCTCGTTCGGGCAAACCCATATCTTCTAAGAAAGTATTCATTTTTCTTATGTCAAACAGTTTCATGGTGCAAGATGGCCGGGAAGTTGTCGCACATATCTGATAGGGGTTCCACCAACACGTTGCAATGTCGGCAATGTGGCTGGTTTCATCAGTCCAAGCCACGTTGGCAGTTCCTTGGCGTGCATCGATGTGCGTAATATGGAGCTTGCCGCCGACGTACATGACGGGCACTGCAGTCCAAGCACCACACAAAGCATCCTGTATTTGGACGGTTTGGTGTTGGCTTCCTTGCAAGTCCATTGTTCGGACTGCACTTGTTCCAATACATCCTATCAGTTGCCCGTACAAGTCAGGGTCTTTTGGAACGACCAAGCGAATCACATCTGATGTGTTCACACTGCTAACAAGTGAAATGCCATCTAAATCATTCTCAAAGAAGTGTGTATCATCTGCATCCCGCACGAGGATCTGTCTCCCAAAGGATCGAATCTCTTCAGGTGTTTTTTTCAGCTTGATGTCTGTCTTGAACATTTTCACTATCAAGCAGTGGCTCGGGTCGAGCTCTTCTGCATCGTTATTTTCGGCTTGAGCTTCCCGCGTGGACATCTCGAAGGTAAAACGCTGGAGTGTCTGCCCAAAACACGACATTGCTTCAGCAATCTCTCGCTCACCAGTTCCTAGCAGCTCAAAGGCATGCCTTGGAGGACGGCCTGATGGCCTGAACTGTCTGGTGTCGCCCTTCTTGGCACTCTGAATCTGTTTTTCTAACCGCCGGTTCTTCACCATTTTGAGTCGGTGGCACTCATGTCTTTCAGTTGAAGCCGTGATCTTCCAAAGTTGCGGCGTTGATGTCCAGCTCATGTCGTTTCCGAGCCTCTCAAAAGTGCCGAAAGCATTGTAATTGTTGAAAAAATCCAGGGGACCATGGTCGGTATCGCCGGATGCTTCATCAGCCGTCAGCACTTTGTCTGCGGCATGATCAGTCCCCGCGGAATCATCCGCAGGTTCACCCAAATCATTCAGTGCATTGAGAAGCCTTTGCTTCTCTTCATCCTTCAGTGGTGCAGAGTCCCTGTCATGGGGAACCACATCCATGATGACCTTCAAAGGCGGTGGATTTATGTCAGGCCGTAGGAAATCTTGAGCCAAATGATTCCTTCGGCTGCTATGCTGCGCATTCAAGCTGCCACTTGTAGCTGTGACTACAGACCTGCGAATTGCAAAAAGTTGTTTCACTTTTTGGAAGAAAACATTTGCAATGAACAATGTTGTTTCTGAAACTCACCTTATATTGGACATGTTTCACAAGTCACTCAAACGTGGAAAGTCCCCATGTTCAATGAGGTTGCAGTTTGTGAGGATCCGACGATTCACTTCTTGCTCTCTGTGAAAAAATCAGTCCTTGGGACTCTCGGGTTTCTGTAAGTGATACAAATCCGGGCTGAACCTTTCACAGTGGATGGCAGTGAATGAAATCTATGAGTCTACTGGTGTGCCTCAAACATCCTCAGACCAGCACAAGCCTGTTCTGGTGAACACTTTGCAAGATCAAATCATACTGTAGATTACTGTAGATAATCACAATTCATTTCTGGCATGCTGCACTTGGGCATTCTGTCACTTCTTACTTCACTTAATTCGTGGGAAATCGCGGAGACGACCAAATTGCAAAATCATGACATGACAATTTTGTGATGACACAGTGACAAACTATGAGATTTGGGATTTGGATCCAACTTTCAGCCATACAACGGAACGCCCTATTCGAACCTGGATGCAGCGTGGTTTTACCCCGAAATCCGATCTAACTCCAAAGGTGGCATTTTGAATCTTTGGAAACCATGATTGGGGGTTGATCATGGTTTATCATGCTTTATCATCCAGATAAAACGTTCGATTTCATCAGCTATGTCCATACAGTGAGACCTTGTAACAGCTTTGCACAGCGGCAACTTTTTCTCACGTCTGCGTCGCCGCCAAAATCTTCAGTACCTGAAGCAAATGTTGACATCATCCCCTAGATGTCGCAAAAAGATGATGTTTTGGATAGTCGGATAGTATCAAATAATCAAATAGTATATTTCTATACAGCATATATACAGTGTAAGTATATATATTGAGTGTTTTCAAAAGGCTTCTGGTGAAGGGTTACAAGGGGAGCATTTAAACTTATATCACATGTTTCCGCAATTGTTTCAACAATTGTTCAATGTTTCTGCAATTGTTTCAACAATTGTTCAATTTTTCTGCAATTGTTTCAACAATTGTTCAAATGTTTCCGCAATTGTTTCAACAATTGTTCAAATGTTTCTGCAATTGTTTCAACAATTGCTCAAATTTTGCCGCATTCTTTCAACAATTGTTCAAATGTTTCTGCAATTGTTTCAACAATAGTTCAAATTTTCTGCAAGTGATTCAACAATTGTTCAAACGTTTCTGGCATTGTTTGACTTTTCCAGCAAAGATTTGAACAACTGTTGTAGCAGTTGTCACAGATGCTTTCCCATCACAAATATGCCAAAGCCAGCAATTTTCAATCATGGTGTGCAAAAGTACGCAAATCTTTGTGACTTGGTTTCACTTGCAAATATCAAGCGTTGGCTTAACTAGCCTAAAAATCGATTGCATTGTTTTCAGCAAGCAACAAACAGAATCGCATTGCCATTTTGGCTTCAAGCTGCTTCGTGTTCTCAATTTTTCGGTTGGTTTGCGACGGAATGTTGTTGATTTGCACTGCTTGGCGAATGCTGAGCCTGCATGACTTAGCAGGGATAGCACTTGGTGACCAGCAGCAAGAACAAGAAGGTCAAGACAATCAGCCCGGTCTTCGATCTGGTGCACGGGTTGGCCGCCTTGGGCGTGGTGGCCTTGGGCGTGGTAGGGCATCGAGCGCGGCAGGCTGAGAGTGAAGAAGGCTTGATTTTCCTGTCTGACCAACAAAGCAATTGGATGACTTGTTACTTGTTTATGGTGCGTGCTGACAAATCCGGTCATGAGGGTGCATTTTGCACTTTTCAAGCACGCAACTTGGCTCTCTGAGCGCGTTGAATTTGACGCTGTAGATGAGGAAGAAGGGGCGCTCGATTTATTTGAAGATGAGGAACTGAGACCGCTGTCAATGGCATGTTTCTGCAGAGCATCCCTGATCCCTGCATTGGAAAGCCTTGGATTCTATCAGTGAGCTAGCTCACCTGCCTGCAGGCATGGGTTGGGATCCAGTTATTCTGGCTTTTGGCCCTGTTCTTTCTTGGAACCAAGAACGGCTGAGAATCACGCGTCGAACTTTGTGCTTGGTTGTGGGCCAATTGTGGAGAAAGCTTGTTTACCCCTTCCAGCAGTACCCTTGGGCATTGGAGCCTTTGGTCGACCCAGAGGTGACTTTAAGTGAGAAGCAGGATTGTGTGCGGTCCTTGTTCAGTTGCAAGGATTATCAGCTTGATGCTTTTGCTCGCCAACTCTGTGACACTGTTCCACAGCATGCAATGCTAGAACCAGACACGCTCAAATTCTTGGAAGCTGTGCTGCAGCATGTGGTTCTAACCAGCACATTCATTGAGCGGGTGTTTTCCAGGCTTTCTGAGTGGGCCGATGTGAAGGGGCACAGCCCCAAACTGAGCAGAATTGCTGCCAAACATATATCAGGCCGCTTCCAGCAAAGCACCCAGCTGTGGCGGAAGCGTGTTTTGAAACAACAGACAGCAACAAAATGCAATATCAGCAGGCCAGCTTGGGGCCATTCAAGAACAAAAGGCAAATGCGCAAATGGTTGGCATGTGTTCAGCCAAGAGTATCTGTTGCAAAATCTTCGGGGAACTTCGCAGGAACGGCAAAGAGCTGCCTTGAGGGCCTGGCGAGGTTGCACCCTTGAAGAGAAAATGAGATATTCGCGCTTGGCGCAGGCTAGGAATGCAGCAGCTTCTTTAGCCGCATCCCAAGCAGCTGCAGCCACAGAAGGGGGCAATGCTCTCCCTGCTGGCAGTCCTTGCAATGTTGGTGCATGATGGTTTCCCACTTGCCCGCCATGTTGTCCTTAGCAATCAAAGCCAAATGAACACCATGTCTACCCAGTTTAACAATGACTGCAACTGTCTTTTGCCTGAAAATGCTGATGCGTTTGTGGGTGCGTGCGCCAAGGGAGCCATATCCTTTATATAATGCCAAGCTGCCCCAAGGACGGATGCATGCATGCCTTGCCAGATGCCGGCTTGGCCGTGTTGACTTCCTTGCACGACCACTTCTGATTCATCGTCAAACATCATGCTCCAAAGCCAAAGGCTGTAGCAAAGGAAGTGCTCCTGTTGTCTCGGCGTTCAGAAGCCGCAAATGTTTCCAAAGATGTGGCGGTGATGTTTCACACCAGGAGGGCTCCTTGGGAGGCTGCTTTGCTGGTACTTCATAGAGTCAGCTTACCCGACTTGGCAGAGCAAGGCGTAGTCTTCAGTTTGTTGTTCAGCGCCTGTGCCGGAAGTTACTTTGGTGAGGGCAAAGCTCCTCATCTTGATTTGACAAGTAACAGGGCCTTATTTGTGAGACTGGCGCGGCTTGCGTCTGACTGGTCTTTTTTTTCACTTTTTGGAAGTGGGCAAGGTTCTGTCTTTGGTTCGTTTCGATGTGGTAGCTGCAACGGCTTGTGAAGAGAGCTCTTTTGAGACAAAGGCGAAAGAAGCACTTGAAGTTTCAAACACCCTACAAGCTCTCAGCCACTTGCTGGGCAACCACAAGAAGCGGGCCGCAAACCAACAGTCCCAGAATGAGGCCAAAGAAATTGGCCCCCGGTCAGCGAAGCGACCCAAAGCTTCACATGCCCTGTCAGCGGAAAGACGGTTGCTGGGCGTGGCTACAACACCGATGCACAGGAAGAACACCGTCTGGAAACTTGGCAAGGCCAGAACTGTCAGATTACTTTGACCCAAGAAGCTTTGCCAGAGTTTAACGAGGAAGCCAGAGCAGAGCCCCCTCCAGTTTCACATGTTCAAGCCCCTCTCAGGATCAAACCGGTCTGCTCTGCGGAGGTGACACATGCAAAAGCAATCCGCCAGCGAAGGAGTGAAGCATGGGGCGTATTTCATTTGGGGCCCATCTACAGACAAGGTGTGCAAACAGGCTATGGAGCTATCTGTGGCTTACATCGCAATTTAGAGGACGGGCCAGGAATCTATTGCAGAAAAGCTTTGACAACATCCGAGCTTTCCGAGGAAGACTGCCGGCTCCGTCTCGAACGTTGGCTTCCAGCCGGGTTGCAAAACAGTGATTGGCCTGAGGGGCAGGGCCGCTCAATGCACCTGTCTTTGGGCGGCCTGCGCCTGGTAGATTTCAGCTCGGGCAAGCCAGAGGCTGCTTTAGACAGACAGGCTGCCTTTGCGGGAAAAAAAAAGCAACGCCTTCCCATCATTCTGTGAGCAGGTTGCCTTTAGGCCTTTAGGCTTGACTAGGGAAATCCAACGTGCATGAAGGTGGTCCAATCAGCACATGAGTCAAGGGCAAGTTGCGTTTTGGAAGTTTGCGCCTCCGACAATCCATCAGCTGCGAAAAAAATAGTTCTCGAAAAATTAAATAGACTTGTACATATGTTTGAATCTATCGGAAACATATTTCCAAACAATTATGAAATGTTTTGTAGTCAAAATCTCTACAAATCATTTGTAGAGAAAAGTTTTCTTTTTCTCGTTTGTATTTAAAACTAATACATAATGTTTGAATGCTGTTCAAAATCTCTACAAATCATTCGTAGAGAAAATGTTTCGCAATTCTTTTCGCAAATGTTCGCATTAATTTTAATTTGCAATATTTCTCAATATTTCTTTCAAACTCTGAAATTGCATTTCCCGGATTTACACCATACGCAGTTTGTGCGTTCAAGGTTTCCGAGAGTTGGATCCAAACTAGTTCCAAGCTGCCATGGAGCCGGATCCACTTCCCCTTAGTGACTCCAGCAGTTCTAGCAATGAGCCTGCTAGAGCGCGCCGTGTCAAGAAGAGACAGGCCGCCAGCACAGCTGGCGGAAGTGAAGTATTTCCGATTTCACTTGAGTACAGCAAGCCTTGTGAGTGGCTCAGAGGGCGCTTTCTATGTCATGGAAGCGCTTTCCAGAGCATACAGCCTTGGCAAGGAGACCTGCGGATGCCGGCTCTCCATGAAGCACTTTTTCTCATGCGAGAGCAACAAGGACAAACAGCGATGGATCCAAGCGGCTTTGAATTGTGGACCTTTGATGCCAGCCCTCAGCCCTTTGAAATCGGCTTATGAAAGCAGTGACGGGGACAGCGAGCTGCTTCAACTTGGCTGCATCTTCCAGGACATCGAGACGCTGGGCGGCTGTGAAGCTCATTGCGTGGTTCATGGCAAGCTTTGCCCAGTGCCTGGCTGTGACCTTTTGGTCATTGGGTCCTCCTGCGAAGATTTAAGCAAGGCCAATCCAAGGAAGGAGACACAAAAGTTCGTGTTCCAGCAGAGCAATTCATTGGGAAGCTCAGCGCAGACTTACCACGGTTTTACCAGCTATGTTGCGGCTCACTCACCTGGGCTGGTGACGTACGAAAATGTGGGTGGGCTTGAGGAGCAAATTGGGGCACATGCCCAATCCAACTTGGATGTCTTGATGCAAACCATGAAAGAATTGGGCTATAGCGGCCAGCCTTTGCGAACGGATGCTTCGTCCTTCGGCTTGCCGGCCAGAAGGCGCAGGCTTTACATTTTGTTTGTGCGCCAAGTGAACCCAAAGCTTCTCACGCAAACCAGGTCTTTGACCGAGTCTTTTGAAATGTTCAACAACATGGTAGCCTCCTGTCTGAGACCCCCACCCTGCGCCAAGGATTTGCTGCTAAATCCCGCCTCAGGCGAGGTTGAAACCTTTTCTGGAGGAGAGGAAAGAGAAGAGCGCCAAGGCTGCATCGAAGAGCCCCAAGTCTTCTGGCAATTGTGCAGACCAACACATGAAGTTTGCAGAAGCTGAAGGGTTGCGATGGGGACAGACATACCCTCAAGAACCCAAGTTGAATCCGTGGTTTGGAACCTTGACAGCCAGGGAACAGGACGTGCTGGCTTTGTCCAGGGCGCAAGCCCCGGATGCTGGCTTCAGAAATGTTTCCCAATCGCTTGGACGGGTGCACACTGCCAGCCTGTGCAAAGATACCAAGAAGCGTGTTGCCCCAACAATGCTTCCAGGTCAGCTGCTCTTTCTCGAGCTGGTTAAGCCTCCAAGATTGATGTTGGATCAAGAAGCCCTTTTGTTTCAAGGATTTCCCGCACCTCAGTTTCTGAAGCTGGTAGAGACGGAAGGCATCGATGTCTACGAATGCTCTGCTGCGGCAAGCGGCTCAGTCCGAAAGCGGTCTGGCCCAGGAAGGAAGTGGCTGACAGAAAGCTTGACGGCTGACCTTGCAGGGAATGCCATGGCTCTGCCAGTGTTGCTTGCGATTGTGCAGAGTGCTGTGGCCTCCCTGCTGTTCAGACCTGATTCCCGAGCGTCCACACGGGAAGAAACAGCCGATGCTCTCTCTGCATTGGGAATCCTCGCTGATTTGTGAAAAATTGGGAAGCTGAGGGCTCAGCCCAGGTTTGCAGCAAATTTGTCCATGCTTGCTGATTGGCGCTCTCGGAGCCAGCGCCCGCTAATTTTGTAGAAGCTTCGCTTTGCGCAAAAAAAGACCTGCAGCCAAAAAAGCTTTAGTTGCTCATGTTGTGTCAGCGCTACTCTTGCTAGATTTGGCAGTCTTGAATCTCACATCTTGAGGTGGCTAGCAAAAGTGATGTTTGCAACGCTTGGGTTGAATTAGAAAGAACAATATATAATTCCAAGGGTTTGTCAGCTTTGCAAATCTTCAAGATTTTTTGTGTGCTTTGTTTGCCAGTGGCAGTCCCAACCGTTGTTCCTTCAGCTGTCACGTGTGAGCCACCAAGAGCCAAGCAGCCTATGCCTTGTTCCTTCCCCTGTAGCTTGAGCGGCTCTATCCACTTGCTAAATCCCCCTGTGACTTTGCCAGTGCCTCGTGGGCCATCAGATGGACCCTCCCTTTACTATGTACTGCTGGCAATTGAGATTGTACTCTTATTGGTCCTGCTTTGGTTCCTTCTTCTTATTTGCCTGTACGAGCTTTGGAGGCCGTTAAAGCCTGAGCCAGTAAACCCGCAGCAGGATCAGATCGATGGTTAGCGACCTTTGGTCTAGTTCTTTTATGCTGCGCGCCTCCCGTTACAAGGCCTTGTGGCCATATTTTACTGGCAGCATGCCTGAAATCGCAGCAGGGCTCCGGCCATGTTACGAAAGGCGCCCCGCAATGCTGGCCTTACCAAAACAGCACACTGCGTGTGGCAAGAAAAGTCACGCCAAACCAATGGACCTTGACTACCAGACGGCACTCAGCGCGCGTGGCAAGAAAAGCAATACCACACCGAGGGAATTTGATCACAAAACAGCACCCACTGCATGTGGCAAACAAAAAGTGACACCGAACCAAGGCAACTTGACCACAAAACAGCGCTCAGCTGGCGTGGCAAGAAAAGCGGGGCCAAAGCAAGGGAACCTGAAGATGTCTTCTCTGCCGTGATGTGTGCCACAGCACACAGCTGAGGCGCAAAGGAGCCGGCCAGGCGTGGACAGATACTCCTGAGCCTGAGCCCGCTTCAGAAAAAAACAGCAGCCAAAGCGCAGTCTTCCCAGGGGATAGCAGGTGTGGAAAGTGATGTTGTCTTACTGTCGGGTAGCAGTGGCCCATCAAACGCCATTCCTCTTTGGCAGACCTAACGTTGCCAACAGCAGATGATTGTAGAAGTCAAATTTTCAGCACAAGGCAAGAGGAACAAGTAGCAGTCTGTGTTGAAAGGGGCAGTTGGTTGACACCATTTTTTGCGTCAATGATAGATCCGAAAGAAGTTTTGAAACAGTTCTGGGTAATGAGCAAGTTTCAACAAGCGTTGAAACAGTTTTAAACAATTTTAGGGCACTCGTTGAAAGAGTTTTTCCCCACATCTTTGTGTGGGGTTCTTGTTTTTGATTCTGTATCCCGGGTTTCTCCGCCTCCTCCGCCGCCTCCCGCCTCCTCCTCCACACACACCAACACACACACACACCAACACATACACACACACACACCACAAACCAACACACACACACACCACAAACCAACACACACACACATACACACACACACACACCAACACACACACACACACACCACAAACACACACACACACACCAACACACACACACACCCCACCAACACACACACACACCAACACACACACACACACACACACCAACACACACACACACACCAAGCCCCTTTGCATCCACATGCGATGCCTCAGAGAGGGAGGAGCTCCAGCGGCACCACGTAGGACCAGCCTGTTCTCCTGTGTAGATTGCCATTCTTCCTTGCGTTGCCCATCCTCCAGATCGACTTCACACATTGGTTGATGTATTCTTGTTCAGTGCTGAACTCATCTCTGGCTTGTACTGCAGGGTCGCTCCTGTCTTTTTCATTTCGAATTTTGTGCGAAGACCGAATTTTCAATTTGCAATTTGACATCAATTTTCTTCTGGCCTTTTTCTGCGGGTGGCTCCGACTTCTTTCCATTTTTTGTACAATTTTCATTCCTGCGAAGATTGCTTTTTGGATACAGAGGATCACGGCAAAAAGACAATTTTTTGGCGCTGACACAGACAACAGTACATCATCATACAGGCTGCACCATATTTGCAAATCCGGTCCCAAGTCCGGACACTCAGACCTGATATCACGTACATCCCTGGTCACTGCCCTGATCTGCCTCCTCTTGCTATTGAACATGGACTGCAGTGACTTGGCGATGACATCCACTACGACACTGAGTGGGGGTGAGGGTTGTCTTAATCGGTCATGGATTAAGACGGAAGCTGACTTTAATGCAGATGCACTTACACAACTCCTGGAAGCGAAACATCATGACAAGGCGCTGCAAATCGGCTACGGCCATGAGAATCCCAGCGGGACTATGCATACATACAGCAGGGTTCAGAAACGCAGTTACAAAAGAGCGTTCAGAAGAGCCTTGGCGACGGGAAGCGCTTGGTACCGTGGACAATGTATGACACCGGATCAGTTTGCACCTGGCCTTTCCATTCAGTTGAACCGTGCATGTCCCTTGCCAAAAAAGCCACCTCCATCTTCACACACACCAAGACATCGTATGCAAATTGGTCATGTTAATGTGGGTGGTTTAGCAACTGAAAAGCTGCATGAGGTGAAAATATGGGCTACACAATCTGCCTTGGACATTCTTCTGCTCAGTGAAACGCGTTGGAATTTTACAAGTGAGTGGACAGATGACACCTGGTATCATCTCCATACTGGAACAGCTGAAGACAAGGCTGACGGTCTTCTTTTTCTCATACGGAGGACACTTTGCTCGGCTGAACAGATTGGATTTGCTGCCCCAATGCCTGGACGACTTGGCCATTTGAGGTTGCATTTCCACAAGCGCTCCATGGACTTACTAGGCTGCTACCAATATGCCAGCACGCCTCATCACCATAAACACAATCATCGACATGAGTTTTGGCAGAAACTTGAACACCAAATGGCACTGGTTCCCAATCGCAATAGTGCTGTCATCATTGGGGATTTCAATTGTAGTGCTCTTGTCTCTGGACCCCATGTCGGTACTAATCAATATACTTGGGGTGGCAAGCTGTGTCGAAGCCCACCGCATCGGGACAGTTCCCTGTTTTTGGAGTTCTTACAGAAGTTTCATTTGACCATTCTCAACAGCTGGAACGCAAAGAATCCTCCGACATATGACAATCAGTTGACTGCCTCCAGTATTGATCATGTGATCATGCGCATTGCCGATGTGGACAATATGGCTAAGGATGTCAAACTCATCTCGAAGGCACCATTTGTACCCATGACAGGCGCACGACACATTCCCATGATTTGCTCAGTACGAAAGATACCATATGCCTTCACCAGATCGGCTACATCAAATGCTTGTTCTTTTCAACAGAGACTACGGTGTAGGAGAGCATGGCAGATGCAGGATGACCAGTGGCAACAGTTTCATGACAGTTTCACTCAGAGTTTTGCTGATTTCACCGCACAGTCACAGAATGATTCTACTTTAATTGATGATTTACATCGGAATTTGATGCCTGTTTTTCACCATGCGTTTCCGAAGGAACGATCCAGTGCCCAGCCATTGAGCACACCCAACCCTGTGCAGACTCAGATGATTCGAAGCAAGTGGCAGCATCTGGCACACATTACTCAGAGCACCAGTACCACCCTGCGATCCCTGTTTGAAGTCTGGTTTCATTATGGGCGCTATCGTACATTGAAACGACAACAACAGCGCATGATGAGACAACTCAAAAGGCAGAAACTTCAGGATCTGCTTACTGAGGTCACCCATGCGTCCCAACGACATGATAGCTTTGCCGTGTTCCAGGTGATCAGAAAATACACACCAAAGCAACCTCTGAAAAAGATCCGCCTGCGGCTGCCTGATGGTACTCCAGCAAATCCGACACAGGTTATGCAGATGACCCAGGCCTACATTCGAGAGATTTGGCACAGCAGTGACCCCATTTTCCTGCGACAACCTGCCCCGGTAGGTGTGCCTTTTTCACTTGAAGAGTTAGAACAGGAGATAGCTTGCATACCCTTAACCAAAGCTGTTGCTAGGAGTTGCCTTCCAGGTATTTGCTGGAAAACCAATGCCAGATCGGTTGCTGTTTTCATTTATGCCAAGTTGCAGCAGTGGTGGACACAATTTCCAGTTTTCATCCCTCAGCAGTGGAAAGATGCGGACCTCACCTTCATAAATAAACCTGCCAAGAGTCCTGATCGACTTGAACACTTGCGTCCCCTGGCGTTGTTGGAGCCGGTGGGGAAATGTGTGCTTGGCATACTCACCAAAAAATGTGCTGCCGAGATTCAACCCTTGATCAGCCCTTGGCCGCAACTGGCATTTTTGAAGCAGAGGTCCACTTTCGATGCTATTCGGAAAGTCATACATCACTGTGCCCTGGTCCGAACACTGACTGCCTCTCAGAGGCGCAGCGTGCATGAACGGGCAATGCAAGAACCTTGCCATCAGGTATGTGGTGGACTGCAAGTCCTGTTGGATGCAAATAAAGCGTTCGATCTTGTCCCCAGATCGACACTATTCCAATTCCTCAATGATCTTCCGATCAGTCAGGTCTTGATCACCCTACTGAGTGAATGGCATGACCAAACTGCCTACATAGTGAATGATGGTATCACGCAGCAGAGAGTGGCTACAGGCCGTGGGGTTCGACAAGGATGCCGAGCAGCTCCAGTTTTATGGACCAGTCATACACTGCATTTGTTTTACAAGCTGCGCGATCTCATTGATGCCACATGGATCAAACAGTGCTTAACAGTGTTCGCTGACGACCTTCATTGTTGCGAGGTATTTCGAAGTGAGACCCAGTTGCAAGCTGTCCTACAAAGAATAGGTATTCTTCTAGATACCTTAGAAGTGCTAGGAGTCCAGCTGTCATTGGAGAAATCCCATGCAATAATCA